ACAACGTTTCTATGGCAACGAAGGACGTGTATCCCAGATAAATCCAGTGATGAGTGATTGTATAGTTCCGAGTCCGAAGATGTAACGGACCGCGCGGCCAATTTGATTGAGTGAGAACCAAAAGCTAGATAACAGTTCAGCTCCAACCTTATCTTGCAGTTCTCTTTCTTCCTCTGAGGGAGAAACAACAATGATATGAAATGAATAACAAACAAACGTATTTCTGACAAAACCGCCTCTCACGTTTTAACTCCGTTGCCGATACGTTCCGACCTTCAAAATTTGTCCTCTCGTGGTATGGTATTCATGATTCATAGACAGAAACTTGGAAAAGTGGTAGGTTAACCCATCATGATGCAATGTTTTTTCATGAGCAATTTTCAGTTTCCTTCTTTGACCCTCCGACGAGAGCCTTGGTTATTAAGCAGTTGCACATCGAGCTAACTAACCAGGAGGCCTCAAATAATGTCATTGAAACTCCACGCCAAAACATTTAGATTGCTTTCTCCGATTCTGATCAATTGCCACACATTTTTGCCATCTGCCCCTATATGCCTATTGTTCATGTCCCTGCATACATGTGCTGAAGTATACTCGTAGGTTATTATTACAACTCCGTAGACGTTTTCAAAGTGGCTGAATTTCAGAGGAAATTCAGCCTCTATCCTATGAGTATAGTCTGCGTTTAAATTGGATTTCGATGTACATTTTTACGTTTTAACTTGCCTGTAGATCCTACTGCCATAAACGATGATATTTTTATCCGGAGCGAAAGTTAAAACAGCCTGTTTCCCGATACACATTTTCAGCTTATGCGCTTGTTTTTGGGTGGTATATCGGGGACGCTTTCACTGTCACACATAGCCTGCAGCAAGCAAAATAATACCATGATCAAAACATTGAACCAATTACATCGAAACATTGATTTTACCATGGAGGTCGTGAAGATTTACCGTCTGAACTTCCCGGACATAAAACTTCCTCGAACGTTTAACGGGACTGTGTGAAAAACATGGATTTGACAAGAAATTTAAAAGCTCATTCCCCATGACATACAAACGTGGTCCTGACCGCTCTCTATCTCGTCGATCGAAATTAGAAACTTCCTCTCCCGACTAACACATCTACCCTGAAGACGCAGCATTGGAAGAATTCTAGAAATACTCTGGTGGCCAGGCGGTAAATTTTACTAATTTACGGCATTTAGCACGTGCGTTCGAATCCCACCAATACAGCCTGACTCATCATTCTTCGTATGTTGTAGATCAGCCTTTAATTGATCGTGAGGCTGTATTGAAACCTACATTGCTAGAACAGAAAGACTGTTACTTAGCCATATTGCTCAGTACATTCACCACTGGATTCAACTGCTGTTCACTAAGCCTATTTCTGCGGGCCATGTTAAAAGAGAAAAGCTTCCTCAATAGAAATCTGAGCTTTGAAACAGAAGCCACAAATTTATTGATGACGGAACACGTTTTCAACCAACACAGAGCAATCTGGGTCGTCCGAAGGGTTGATAAATCTTGATTAGTTTAGGTCGCGTAGGTGATTGCAATCGATTGCTGCATACATGCTCATATGAATACGAAAATTATCTTTTAATCATTCTACGCAAAGCAAATCTGTGACTATTATCGGCCATATTTTCCTGTGATCGAGTTTCTATCTAATGGTAGTTTCTGCAATAAGATCCAGTAGAATTCGTGCAAGCATTTTCCGCGCATAAATTGTATACCTTATTAGGCTACCGGCTCCAATTTTTGGAGCTGAATTCTGTCAAATAGTTTGAAGCCACCAGGGGTAACAATCTTTTATGATCCACCCACTTGTACGACGATTTTGGTGAAATACGATGTCGCTAAGTTTAAACAGTTTCTTGAACAAAAATAGTTTTATTTTTGTACTTTCGTGTATCTCAATTGAGTATTTCATCGTTTGTTTTTCCAGATCACGTTTGCTCAGTACATATTTGAATGTGAACTTCATGGAACGCATCTGTTTGAGATGATCCATTCTTTGCATATAGAATCACCACTCCATCTTTCCTGCCTGTCTGTGTACTCTGGATTCCAACAAATTGCATTTCGTATAAACATTTCTATAGAACATCTTTTGTTCCCCCTCTAGCATACGTACTCGTAAACAGAGAGGCAGAGAGAGAGATGATGACCACTTGAATTTTCCATGACATTGAACTGAAAGTTTGCTTCGACAATATGCCTGGCTCGGAAATTTGGTTCGTATGTATCAAATCTGGCTTCGGTGTTTACCTCGTGGAAACCTTTTTTAAATCAGATGTGATCAGCAATGCTTACGACAGAAAAGCACAAACGTCATCAGAGCCAGCGAACCGGAATAACATTTCATAAAACTCGGATGATTTTAAATGCATTGACCCGTATGTGCATTTGTGTAATACGCAAAAAACTGTCTAATAAATGGTATTTTTAGGTTGCCAATATTAATTTTTACTGTCTTTGTTTGATTCTCTATTTACAATCTACAGAAATGATCTCACATGGCTTGGAGACGAGTCATTATCAAGGTCCAGATATGACTATTTCTGTTGCCTGAGAAAGCATTGCGCGTGACAAAAGATTGCGTCCGCATTTTCTTTGACAAATCATAATTTCTCATTCTTCAATAATCCCGAAGGAGTATTTTCGATCCTGTTTACCAGGATGGTCAACGTTCAGGCCATTGTTGAGATACAATTCCCGTTAAGGTGATATTCCTGCAAAGCTGCTCAAGAAATGTCAGGAATATTTTTGCGACGTTCGGATAAACGACACGACAGGACTAGTCTTTAGTGTGACCCAAGTGGAACGATTTATAGAAATAACCAGGAACCGTAAAGACCCGGTGGCTGAATGAATACAGCACGAATAAGCCCGAGACCAGTACTCAGCGAAATTCCCAAGAGAACCGGAATAAGCGCCAGCGACAGTTGTACGATCCCAGAACCCGACCACAATGGACACGGAAAACAGGCCTTCAGGAGACGTTGTGTATTTTTATCAACCTAAAGGATGGTGGCTGAGGACAATTAATCTGTTTGTATACAGTTTCTGTACCGGCCAGTAATGAATGACCTTGAAGATTAAGCTGAGAGTACAGAGTCATGAAGGAATAGACCAATCAGGTACAATAATCACCGGTGGTTTAAACTGAGGGGTTTGCGAAGCCAAAATTCGGAGATTCAAATGATTAGTAAACGAAAGGGAACTAGTCACCTTAATAGGAAAAAATGGTCTTCCCTCTGTCAAATACCTTCAGCAATGATGATGTTCTTAACACCTTTGAATACGCCATTTGTTGATTTGTTCCTCATTCATTGTTCTCCACAAAAAACTGCAACCATATTTCTGCCGAATTGTTGCATTGAACTCAACCGGAATCATGGAATTCGGCCCCGCTGACCGAATTTCTCTCCAAAACAGCTCATTATCATTTGCCCTAAATATTTTTGTGTTTGCGCAAAAGGCAAAACTGATGTGTGTATACGGGATTTTTGTGTGCGTCGGAAGCACCCTCAGTTGCGTTGGTTACCCTTGGTCGGGGGAGGACCCAGGAGACTGTCTAACCTCTGACGAGGGGATTAGCTTGAGGCGTGAATGACGAGGTTTTCACACTGTGCTAGCCTCAATTAATACCCGAGGGATGGTCAGAAAAAGAGATAACCTGGAGAACTGGGTTGTATCCCACAATCCCGATCTTTTTGTAATCACTGAGACCTGGCTGACACCGGATGTCTGGGACTCCGAAACATCACTCCACGGTTACACAGTGTTTCGAACGGATCAATCATCGTCACGTCGCGCTAGTGGAGTTTCTTTTTTGTCCACTGGAGTCTCCCTGTTCGAGTGCTGGAGAATTACGCCCATCCGGAAGGATTTGGAGAAGCCATGTGGTGCTGAATCAACCTTTGTGCCGGATGGTATGCCACATTTGGAGTGATTTATCGCACACCAGCTGTGTACGTCACAGAGCTGCTGGCCGGCATACAGAGGTACTCCTGCGATGGACANTGTCTTGTCTTGGATGATTTCAACGCGCCCGTGTTGATTGAGAAACTGACATCTGCTCTCAGAGGGCAGATTTGTTTTCCAGAGAACTTCTTTTCGCTGCCCGAGCCCTCTCGCTTGATCAGCATGTTCATGTGCCCACACGGATAGTTGGGGATCAAAGATCCATCCTTGACCTGTTATTTTCGCCGAGGCAATTAGATACGACTAGGATCGACCTCCTTCCACCAACTGCATCTAGTAATCACTCCGTTCTGCGTATACACTGGAAGCGTGGTGTACCCCAAACGGAAAGACCACAGGACGCACGGAATCTGTGGCGATCATCCTTTCCGGATATGCGTCAGGCTGCATCGCTCACAAATTGGGATTCCCGGAACCCTGAGGATGAGGATGTATCCTGGGAGTTGATTCACTATAGAATCCAGCAAGTCGTATTGGAATTCTCTCCACCTCACCGCCACCAAACACACGCTATGGGCCCGCCGTGGTTCGACCGAGAACTGCGGGCGGCCTCCGGCAGCGGAATAAAGCCTGGTCCAGGTACCGTGCGACAGGCGCAGGATATGAGGAATATTGATGTATTCGAAATCATTGCACTGCACTAAAAAGTGCAAGAGAACCAGATTCGAGGAGTGACTAGCAGCGGACTCAGTGCAAGCACCAAAGCGATTGTATGCCTACCTCAGGCGAAGAATCAGAGCAACGCCTGGTCTTCCGACTCTCGTCAAAGATGGGGCACTAGCCTAAAAAGATGAGGACAAAACGGAGATGTTGGCATCACATTATGCCTCAATGTATACCCCAACATCCAGCACACTGGCACATCTACTGGACACTGACACTGCGCTGAACTGGACCCCATTTACAGTCGGAGAGGTGGCCCTGGAGGTTCGTCGACTAAATGTTCACCAGTCACCTGGACATGATGGTGTGCATACGCTGATGCTGAAGGAGCTGACAGATGACTTGCAGCGCCACTGTGCAACCTATTCAATTTGTCATTCACTCAAGGGCGTTTACCGCGGCAGTGGAAGGACGCTGTCATTGTTCCACTGCTTAAAGTTGGGGACAGGAGTGACCCTGGGAACTACCAACCAGTCAGCCTTACTAGCATGGTGGGTACAGTAATGGAGCGACTGGTGGATACACGGCTTTGGCAGCATTTGATGTGCCACGGTCACCTGTGCCACCAACAATACGGTTCCCGGCCGGGTCGCTCATGCCTCTCAAACCTGCTACTTACGCGTGAATACTGGACCGAAAACAAGGTCAAAGGACACGAAACGGACATCATCTTCGTGGACTTCAGCAAGGCCTTCGACAAGGTGCCGCACGACCTCCTGCGAAAGCTGTCTAGCCTAAGTGTAGGTGTGGTCATGCTGAATTGGCTGTGAGAATTTCTCATCGACCGGAAATTCTGCGTCCGTGTTGGAAAATCGCTCTTTGCGTTGTATTCCGCTCCCAGTGGGGTCCCTCAAGGCTCGGTTCTTGGTCCATTGCTCTTTGTGGTATATGTGAACGACCTGCCCGGTCAAATGTGCAGCCCACCCCTCATATATGCGGATGACATCAAAATCTGGCGTACAATCAAGGATCCGAAAGATCGAAGTTCTCTTCAAGCGGATTTGAACATCTTGGCTCAGTGAGCGGATACCTGGGCTCTTCCAGTCAACACAGCAAAGTGTGCTACATTTGGGGCGTGCTGACTCAAAGGTAGTCTACAACTTCCAGGAATCACATTGCGCAGAGATCGTGTAAACGAGACCTGAATATTATGGTTACGTCATCGCTAAAGACCCGTGAAAACACCGATCGGGTCGGTGCCAGCACATGGAGCATTCCGTGGCCTATTCGGCGGTCTTTCAACCAGCTCACGATGGACGCATTCAGGCTGCTGTACACTTCCCATGTCAGACCAAGACTTGAGTATGGTGGTGCGGCGACATACCCCTGCACAGTCGGTGAACTGGCTAAGTTGGAACGTGTACAACGTGCTGACACTAGACTCGTTGTTGAACTACGCGGGACCAGCTATGAAGGTCGTCCAAAGGCCACTGATCTGTTCCCAATTGCGTATCGACGCCTCAGGGGAGACCTCATCTACCTGAGGAAGATCCTGAGAGGTGATATGGACCCGGAGCTGCAACAGTACTTCTCTTTGCTGACAGAGCACCGCACGCCGGGGCACTCTCTCACGTTGCGGAAACTTCAATCAGTTGGTCTTCCGTTAGTCTACCGACTCTCGTGTAGATCAACGATACTCTGGAATTCCCTTCCACCGATTGTGGAGGAAGAGAAGGCAGACGCTGCTTTCAAACGACGTCTGGATTAGCACCTAAAGAGGCTATGGAGGAACGAACACTTGTGATCGGACCTTCGACCCAGTGGTGATGGGGCTTATACGGGCACTCTGCCCTCAATCCTGAAGACTGAAAACAGAAGACTACCCTGTGGCACCAAAAGACTTGGCGGGGGTGACCAATTTTAATCATGGAAGTTTGATGATTAAGTTCCATCACCCGTTTTCGTCAAGCTACCCTCTGTATTAAAGCATACAATATTGAATTCAAGCCCAAGTACCTGAGCTCATGCCGGTCAGTCAACCCTACAAACATTCACTTTTCCCCCACACACCCATGAGTCATATTGTCTGCGCTTCCAAACTCATTTTCTTAAGCTTTAATGAAAAAAACGCTGTTGTTTAACTTTGTAAGCTGTGTGGTGATTTCAAACACTTTATACCCAATCTTTTACTGCAGCTAGTTTGACGGAATGAACATCACATTTGATCCAATTAGCTAAACAAATCTAACATACTTCCACCTCCCTGTCGTTTGCACTTTCAACCCTCTCATTTCTTTACTACTAAGAGTTCCCCAGAGGCTTCTGGCTTTCTGATTCATATACTTTAGCTGTTACCGAGACCATAATCTTCACAGGTGACAACTTCACCCTGAAATCTAGTGTGATTCATGGGCAAGATTGGCATGGTAAACGTTTCCGCATTTTCTTGCCGGAAATTATCTATATTCTGTCTTTATCTGACTGGTTATTTGAAATTCTGTTCCACTGTCTCCTATTCGAGGGAAACACTTTAAATGCGTAGTAATCTTTTTTCTCCTTCCTTCCTTAAACAACCAGATCAAAAGAAGGTACGTGTGGATAAACCTCTGGACAATCGGTTAATGAAAGCCGTAATGATGTCCGTGAGAGCCAAAATTCACCAAGTGAGTTTCATTCACAACCGCTAAACATGGTTTTTCAAACAAAGCCCTTAAGAAATCCGAAATATGCTTAAACAGCTCAGGGTTTTTTCGATCAGTTGGCACTCTCTATCGATGGATATTCAAGAAAAGGGTTATCAGAACAACCAACCCAAGGTTTGCTCCAATGTTGCAGTTACCCCCAGTACCTGACAACATTCCATAGGTGACTGATCCAACTGAAACACTGTGGAGACAGACGATTGATGACCATTGTATTAAATGAATAACCCAACTCACCCTGATCTACATTTGTCCAGCATCTGCAATGACTGCCAATCACAGTGCCAACAAATCATTCTTAGAAAAACCGTCAGCATTATGCCAATTCAAAGGAAATTCTCCACGGGAATTTCCCCTAAATCTCGTACTTCAGCGGCTCTGAATATAAATACGAAGGTACTTTCACGCAAGTTGTCCCGTAGTGGAACATAAATGATTGCAAACAATTCATCTGTTGTCCTAAGCAGTTGACTCATGTTATCGTAGCTTTTTTTAGCGTACTTATATTTTGTCATCGCTTGATACTCAATATAAAGCAATTAGAGTCTACGTTTAAAACCACAACATTGCATTTCGAAGTGTTTATACAGAGATTAGCTTCGTTGTATTCTTACAGAGCACGGAGTCTCACTATGAACCATAGCGTTCTTTACTACCATTTTTCTGTTCGAACACGGTTTAGGCGATACCGTTACCTCTGAATTAGGGGGTTATCGTGATACCATAGGCGCTGCGCTTTGTTGTCCACATAAATATCTTAAATGTCTGTTACCAATGATCCTTTGCTGCTCAATTAAGCCGATAGTGCTAATGTTAGCTAACCCTTATAACTCACGCCTCACAGCCACTTTGCTCTGAATATCACAAGAAGTGGTCTTCCACGGACAACCTTCGCCTCAGCCGGCACGTATGTGTAGGATGTTCTATCTTCCCGTCAGAGGAGTACATCATACTCTGATCTTTTATGAAAGTGCCAGCATCTTTTCATTACCGATATGTACCTAAGCTGGGGGAAATTAGTTAAATTCTTGGGTGTTATTCATAACAATTCCCTCACTTGATTTGAACCGATCAGCATTGGTTTCATAAAGGTCAGAATGTTTTCGTTTTTTGCCGAAGGCCTAAGACGGTTTGTCACTACTTCGGATCTGACGAAAGCAGCATATACATGTCCGCTTTCAACCCCACTGTGTGCATGCCTTCCCACAGATATTTGCTGGTTTATTACAAAGGGATATGTGTAAAATTCAGATCCCTCAGACATTTATCCATCGATTAGACATCTGTCCTTTGATCACTTGATGCGATATATCGAACATAAAATTTTCCTCGCCATTACGGTTTTCTATATTTATCTATGTGGTTTACCCATAACTCACCCAATCACATTGTCACCCAGTGCAACAAAGCTGGCTCGTCTGCTTAAACCAACATGATCAGAGTTTATTTCAATCTCTTCAACTCTGTCGGACGTTCGAACACAAACAAAACACGTACAAAAGCAAACAATTATTGAACAGTTCCTTAACTTCTGTATATCACTCCAATCGTCTTGTACACGACATTTTCACGGCATTGAACTAACTCTGCACGCGTGGTGCATTTGATCTGCTTGCCATTTTCTATCTTTTGGGCATTTGGTGATTGAAAGTGGAGTTTGATGGAACTTGAATAATTGATTTATCATCGTGAACTACTTATGAGTAGTTAGAATCTAAATATGGAAGAAACCTTTGGAGCATGCAATTCCATGTACAGGTGTTGACCAAACTCGTGCAATATCACCGTCATTTTGGAAATCCATTTCATCCTGCAATATCATAGTTATATATTGATGGCTATGGGTAGAGTGTATTTATTCGTGACTTTATCTCCAATATCTATGTTCGTATTTTTTTTTCTATCACCGTTTGAATTAGTTTGACCTTGAGCATTGTGATAAAATTTATTGTATTTCGAAAGTTACAGCTCAGAATGGGAAAATAGTTTAGGCAAGGCAGCATGGGAGCTCATTCCTTTTATTAAATGGTTCCATTTCCATAAGAATGTTTAGTAAGTTGAGCACATGTATTTTAAATTTTTTATCTCATTTCATTCAGTGTACATTAAATAGTTAAATTAATGAAAATATTCTACCCTAAATAAATTGATAAATTATTTGACTACGAACCACTCATGTATTATCCACAACACTGAAAGAACTGAAAACATAGTCAAAGAAACACACAAGTTAATCTTTCAAAGTTGACTTTAAGGTGTGCGGTTCGTTGAATAAATGAGACGAATGTGCGATAGCTGTATGAAGTCTATGACTCATTTTAATAAACAAGTTCTGTTCA